AATTATTTTTTCCAGATCTGTGAAGAATGATAATGGGATTTTGATAGGGATTGCATTAATTCTGTAGATCACTTTAGGTAGTATGGACATTTTAACGACATTGATTCTACCAATCCATGAGCAAGGTAGGTTTTTCCATCTGTGTCCATCTTCTACAATTTCTTTTTTTAGTGTTTCGTAGTTCTCCCTGTATAAGTCTCTTACATCTTTCGTTAAATATATTCCTAGATATTTAATTTTCTTAATTTTTCTTATGGCTTATTCTTAACTTGTAAATTGGTGGTGCATTTGCTTAAGTAGTGGTAGTGGTAGTAGAAACAGTAGCAGGTAGCACCAGCTGTAGCTGCAGGGGTCAGTAAATGGTAAATACATGCCAAGACTTAACCTGCATTATTGTTTTAAAACTCCTCACATATTAAGATATAGAAACTATTCTCTCTCTTTTACAGTTGAGGAAACTGAGGCCGAGCAAAGTTAATCCACTTGCCTAGGAAGTGGCAAAATAGGGATATGAACTAAAAATCATCTGAGTACAGACCCTTGCTGTTGATCACTATGTCATGCAAATTCCTTGTGTCATGCTCCCCACCCCCTAACCTTTACCCTCATGAAAATCAAGCTTGTCATTAGTGTGTTCGCCACATTGTCTCAGCCTTGGTTCTCACATACTAGGGAATCTGTTTATATTCTTTTGCGGTTATTTGTAAACTTCTAAATTTTATTTTTAAATAAAAGCTTTTATATTTTGCCTTTTTCTTATATTGGGTCTTCTCAGCCTTGAATTTAGTAAATGTTTGTGTGAACCCCTGATCCCATTTGTGAGTTTCCTTACCGAATCAATGATTATTTGAGTCACAAATTTCTGTTTTCTTTCCTTTCCTTTTTCTTTTCTGTTGTTCCCATTAGTCATTTTCATAGCAGCTCCTGTCTCCTATTTATCTATCCATGTATCTATCCATCTTGTCATCCCTTGATCTCTCCAACAAATGCCAAATATTTACTGAGACTGTATTATATTATAGTTGACACAATCTAGCTAATCACATTTATCTGTGTGCTTTATTTTTCAAAATGATTTGAGAAAGTTTTAGTATTTTTTTTTTTTTTTTCGGCAAGAAGGAAAATGAGAAAACTGTAATAGCTACATATGTTTGTGGGCTTGTGTTTGTGTGTATAGTTACCTGTTTTATGTGGCTGGAAAGATTACACTACTGAATGCTATAATACTTTATCACAATGAAATAGCTCTATGGAGGTTTCAAAGCATTAGTTAAAATGTAGCATTTTGCCGCCTTTTAAATGGAACATATTCCAAAAATGTGTGTGCCCGTGTGAGGCCCTTTAAAGGTGGTATATGTTTTTGAGAACTGATGTTGGATTAGCAGTTTAAATCTTCTAAATTTTTATGATTTTTGTGATTTTAAAAAACAAAACTCCAGCACAGCATGTGGCACATTGAAGGCCATCGATAAATTTTTACTGTGTGGATAAATACTGATAATTGAATATGTAGCATTTTTTATGCTGAAATGTAAAATGTATTTATCTTGGATTACCCTCATACCAACAAATATTTCTATGCATTATAAAGTTCATTGTATATACAGATAATAAGATGTGAATATTTATGAGTTTTAAAATTTTTTTTGAGACGGAGTCTTGCTCTGTTGCCTGGGTTATTTATTTATTTATTTAGGCAGAGTCTCGCTCTGTTGCCTGGGCTAGAATGCTGTGGTGCCAGCCTAGCTCACAGCAACCTCAAACTCCTGGGCTCAAGCGATCCTCCTGCTTCAGCCTCCTGAGTAGCTAGGACTACAGGTGTATGCCACCACACTCGGCTAATTTTTTTTATTTTTGGTAGAGACCGGATCTCACTCTTGCTCAGGCTGGTCTCGAACTCCTGAACTCAAGCGATCCTCCCGCCTCGGCCTCCCAGAGTGCTAGGAATACAGGCGTGAGCCACCACACCTGGCCCTGTTGCCCGGATTAGAGTGCAGTGGTGTCATTGTAGCTCACTGCAACCTTATATTCTTGGGCTCAAGCCCAATATCTGCCTGCTTCAGCCTCCTGAGTAGCTGGGACAACTGGCACATAACAACACACCCTGCTAATTTTTTTGCAGGGACAGGGGCTTGCTATGTTGTTCAGGCTGGTCTCAAACTCCTGGTCTCAAGTGATCTTGCCACCTCGGCTTCCCAAAATGCTAGGATTATAGGCATGAGCCACTGTGCCTGGCCCAATATTTGCGTTTTTATAACATCACAATAAATGATATGGGGATTTCCAGATAATGTATACCTGACTCATTATCTTTAATGCACTCTTTCTCTCCTAATAAAATACAAAAAACAAGTATTAAAAGAGAGAAAAATGTAAGAAATATTTATTCTAGGTCTTAGTTTCCATTAACTCCTTTCTCTTTCCTGCAAAATGGTTAAACACATTCCCCCTACACTGTGTTATTTGCTCTTGTAGTACTCTGTTTTTACCTTTATCACATTGGTAGTAAGTTTATTATGAAATTATTTTCTTTTTTAGTTAGACTTGACTGTCCATGAATATAGATACCCAGTGCCTGGCAGTGCAGTACAGTAGTCTGCCGTTACCCGCAGGGGATAGATTCCAAGACCCTGAAACTGAGGATAGTACCAAACCCTGATTTCAGTCAGTCGGAACACGTTTCTGTGTTCTGTACGTTACCTTCCACCTACATATCTGTACGTTTCTGTACATATCTTCCACCTACAAATTTAACGTCTTTTCCATCTCGGCTAAGCACTTACCATGTACTGTGGCCATAACTTTTGCAGTTTGAGGTGCAACAGCAAAACTAGCATGAATTTCTTTTTCTTTTTCACAAGTTTGTGGATAGAAGATTCATTCTTATCCTAGCTCTTAGCCACCTCAGCATATGATTTTCTTTTCTTATGAATGTGAGAACTTTCACCTTTTCACTTGAAGCACTTTGTGGCTTGTCTTTGGCAGTGGCATATCTGAATTGCCATCATCATTACTCTTGCACTTTGGGGCCATTCTTAAGTAAAATAAGAGCTACCTGAACACAAGCACTGCAAAGCTGGGACAGTGGATCTGAATAACCAAGATCACTTCTAAGTGACTAAAGGACAGGTGGCATACAGCCCCGCAGTAAGCTGGGCAAAGGGAAGATTCACCTCCCAGGGCAACATTTCATCGTGCTACTCAGAAAGGCATGCAGTTTAAATCTTGTGAATTGTTTGTTTCTGGAATTTTCCATGTAATATTTTCATAGCTGAAACTGTAGAAATGAAACTGAAATAAGAGGGGGGAATACTGTATATCCACTTTCATTGTGACTACAGGTTGTTGAATAATTATGCATTTTAATATTTTTGTGAAGCAGAGAAATTATTATTTGAGAAGATTATAGTTATGTTTTTCTATTTTACAACTAGTCATATGTGAATACAAATAATTTTTGGCCTTATTTGTAAGTCTGAAAATAAGAATATGGTTTTTAACATTCAATTGTGATTTTTTTCCCCCTTTTTATAGTTTCTCAAGCAAGACCTCCCCCAAATCAGAAGAAAGGTGAGGTTGTACATGTGATTTTAAACTTTCTTTAAAAAGTAAATATGGATGAACTGGATTGCAAAACCAGGGCTGTTGTTATGTTTTTGTAGCTATATCAAATGTGCATGGTATCCATTCTGATTAGTCAGTGTTCAAGCCACACTGATTATTAAATGTTTTTAATATCACTGGGGCTTAAAATATTTTTTAGCTCAAAAGAATTAAAAGTTACAATTTATAAACTTCTAACTTTTAGTAGGGAAAGTAAGTGTAATTCCTTTTAATAATAATAATAATAACAATATATTTGCTACCTGTAAAATTTTATCTTTACAGGATCACGAACACCCATTATCATAATTCCCGCAGCTACCACGTCTTTAATAACCATGCTTAATGCAAAAGACCTTCTACAGGACCTGAAGTAAGTAATTTACTAAATTATTTTCTTAGGACTTTGAGATATTATTGAGGAATAGTAGTTACTAAGTCAGTATTACCTATTTACAGAAAACCAAATTTTAGTTTCTGTGCTATAGGCTTTACAGGTAGTCTGAAGTATAATTTTTCAAAACAGTACATTATTTTATATCTAGATTCTGTAGGGAAAATTACAAAAACTTCTGGCTAATATCTTAATGAAAAGGGTACCATTGTATTAACTTTTAATGTGAACCGTTTTGTTTTTCTGTTTTCCTGAAGAGTTTGAGGAGTTTATAAAACAAATTCAGGTTCTCTCTGTATATTTGATATATTTCCTAGGAGGAGAAAGTGGGTGGGTGGAGGCATAAGTATTTAACCTAGTTGAAAGTAAAAGTTAATAAAGTGAAAATGAAACCTATACTCTACATTAAAACTTCCAGATGCTTAACTTTTAGAAATTTTTTATGTCTCTATTCTTTCCCCATTTCCTTTTTAAAATGAATACTGTTGGACTTGTGCTGAATTGTTCTAATAAACAAGTGTCACAGTGATGGGTATAAAAATAAATCTTTCCCCTCCCCAACCAGTTTCAGACTTAAAATTTAAGTGGTTTACATGTTTTCCAGCAGCATTTCTCCTTATATTAATTAATATGAGTAGGTGTACCACTTTTAAAGATTATGACTATTAAAAAATTACTTCTTGGATTGGTGGTTGTTTACAGAAGAAAAATAGAAATGTTAAAATTGTTTTAAATAATTTTCAGTGATATATACATTAGCAAATTTTAAAATGAGCCACCGTTAAGTGATTTTCAGAATGCTGTCAAGTTTTTTAGACCCAACATTGCAAGCGGTTTTTTCAGTTGATTTTTTTTTCCAGTCATACGGATTGTTAAAATAGGTAAATACTTTATGCATTCAGTTAGCACGTTAACTGCCATGTTAGTTGTATTTAACTCAGGCTAGTTTTGAGCATGGGGCCTTTTGAAGCATATGTACTTTACAAATTTCTTCACCTTGGGAGCCACGAGAACTATATAACTCACACACAGAAAACAATAAAAAATAACAAATTTTTCATTATATTAGAAAGGATTGTTTTCTTTTTGAAGTTTTTATTCTGTTTTTATAACACCATGGCCCGGCCCCAAGGGATTTTTCTAGGTGTGGCAGTCAAGGTGTTAAAATAGAGTGTTATAACTATAAGATATTTTATGTAAGCCTCATAATAATGAAAAAGAATATACCTACAGAAGAT